TGGTATTTCGATATTACCGCTGATTATAACAATGTCATTCATAAATATAACTTAATCATGGATAAAAATGCAATATCTTATAAATCTATAGTGTTTGATGTATGTACTGATTTTACAGAATGCAAACAACACATAAAAAATTTTTTTCCATCAATGGAATTTGAGTATCTTATTGATTACCATTACCCCAACAAGAATTTGGATACATATTGGGAGTAAATAAAATGCGTAGTCTATTAGAATGGCTTAACAATTAATATAAATATAAAAAAAAAAAAAATTTTTTTTNTATAGCATAGCAATAATAATTGAGAACAAATTTTTTTTGTCGGAATTTTTTCTTTATAGTATAATATATTATATATTATATTATATTATAATTTCTCATCATATATAATATTATAACGTTCAATTAATTAAAAAAAAAAAACTTTTATTCTTCACAATTTTTTCATATAGTAATTTTAATTTTTAAAGAATGGTTTTTAATCTTAAAAACAATTTTTTTTCATTAAATTATTATTTCTCATAAAAAAGGAAAGTGATCATTTTTTTTTTAACTAATAATAATTTACTCACAGTATAAGCATCAATATATGTAATCCTTATCACACAGTAAAATAATACACAAAGCTTAAAACAAAAAAAAAAAATATATATAAAATATAAATACTTAAATTTCAAAGAGTTTACTCGTGAAACGCACATATGTAACTAATATCATATGATCACAGTTACCTATCAAAAAAAAAAAAATAATAACAACAATAAAATTGATAATAAATAAAAATACACATATTAATTATGGAATTCGAACTTCTATAAAAATATGTATATATACAAATACAAACATTCATTATCTTGTCTCTATTATCACTATATTTACATTACACCAAATCAATTATAACATACTTAATTCAATTTAATTTTAATTCTGACATTTTTCATAGCATTTATCTCAATTTACTTTATCACATGAAAATAATTCTCTATGAACTAAAATTTTTTATAGATATATTTGGCATGAATTAATCTAAAAAACTAATCTTAACCTTGTATACATTTTTAATTTCATATTATATAAAAGAAAAAGTAAACATGAATCTACTATTACCAATCATATTCTCTACTGTATTCATTGAAGTTCACTCAATCATTGCATACGACTGTTCGGCAGACCATTTAAACATAACGTCATTTAGTAGTCTTTCAGTAGAACAATGCGAGAAACCGCGGCCAACAAAAACGATGAGAATAGAACGAATTAAATTATTACAAAAATCAGAAACACACACCATTTTCTACAGAACCTGCCTTATATCCATAAATTATTTAATTTTTAAATGTTCTACATTTGGTGATCTACAAGCTCTTCCTGATGGTTATTATTCAGAGGTATCAGAATTAGGTACTTTACGATGTGAAGAAATCCACAACAAATTATTCTATCAGTTACCATTAGGAGGAATAATACATAATCTAAAAATTAATCATACAACTCAAGCTTCTTCTACAATTGCTGGATCCATTGACCATAAAGGCAACTGTGAGGGTACTACTTTTATTAATAATAGAGGCACATTTCATAAAGCAATAGTGCAAGCAAAATATGAAATCACTTTAACTGAAGGATATGGCACAGCAAACTACAGAGAAAATTCTATGATATTTTCAAATGGCGTACGATTCACACTTTCAGAATCATATGGTTTTGACTCCTCCAAAGGTGAAGTCATATGGAATACAAATTCTCAAGACTGTGATTTGGACTACGTTGTTCTTTATGACGGCCCAGCATCAGTGGTACAATCAAAATCTTTTTCTAATCCAACTGATGAAACAAGGACTTTCCTTGTTGAAACACAAGGAATTGCTTTTGCATTAAAATATTTAAAAAATATTGAAGCCTGCTCTATACCTGTTATACAGACTGAACATCCTCAATTATACATTGTAACACAAACGCAACACTTAGAAAACTTCAAATTAAAAACTATTTCTCCTCAACACACGGACTTAATTTCATATGTCAACACAAAATTTGTTTGGGTTGAATTCCATATTTCTAGATCATTAAATGATTTATATATTGATATTACAACAAAACAATGCAACATAGAAAGAAAAATATTAATGCAAAAATTGTCTCTAGCCTCATACAGTTTAGCAGAATTTGCTTACGCCATGTGTGAAACTCCTGGTTGTATGGCAATATCCAGTGGAGAAATCATATACCTCATGAAATGCAAACCAGTTCTAGACGAAATGGCAAAAAAAGATACTTGTTTTCACGAACTACCTGTCATACATCAAAATCAATCATCCTTTATGGCACCAAAATCACACATATTACAAAAATATGGAACAGAAACTACTTGTAACAATAGATTACCATGCGCCTACTTCTTAGATGGAGAATGGTTTGGACTCAATCCAAATTTAATTGATGTCAAAACACCACAGATATTAAAACCAGAAACCAAATTTACATGGAATTATAAATCCCCGGAATACTTAATGTCCGCTGGTATTTATAATCGAGATGTAATGCAAGCATTACAAAAACATTTAATGTTCGCTCAAGAAATTACAGCAATACAAAACAACATTGTTCGTCAAACATTAGGATATGAAGTAACCAACCAAATAAATCTACACAAACTTATTGATCCTTCAGTTATAAGTTCCATGGTAGAAGATAAATTACATCAAATTTGGGGATGGTTCACATATTTTGGTTCATTTATGTCTGGAATTTTAGGCATTATTTTTACAATTAAAATTCTAACTATTATTATTAACTCTTGCATGAATGTACACTTATTATATAATACATTTGGTTGGAGTTTAAGATTATTCTGTGGAATATTTAATAATATAACTCATTATTTTATGCACAAAAATCATCAACAACATTATAACACCAATAATGTTGAGCTAAATAATATAAACNACCACCAATAATGTTGAGCTGAATAATATAAACACAGCAAACAATGATACAACACAAACACAATTAAAAGTTCACTCTTTCCTTTATCCAGATATAAGTCACTCCACTCTGTGAGATGTCTGATGAAATTCTTGACATTCCTGTCTATGTCTACAGAACTCCACAATATACAAAAAAACCAATAATGATGAAATATGATAAAGACATCCAGTATGACACTACTAAATTCTACGTTTGGCGTTATGGACAAACGGTCTACCTTTTTCCAAAACCAAATCCACTCATCAATCAAAACAGCAAAAATCGAAAACGCAAGTCTAGAAAACAAAAACCGTAAAAAAAAAAAAAAATTATATATAATAAAATTTTTTTTTGTCTTTATTTATATCACTTATTACAATTTGTGTATCATAAAATTATATTCACATAATTTATCATATCCTAAATATCATATTTACACTATTATACTTATATTTATCACAAACTTATTATAATATTATATTACTAATATTAATATTCAACTTATTTTTATATATACTATTCCATTATTATACATCATTTTTTTTATATAAACTATTAACCTCATATAATTTTATTCATATACTATATTATTTTATTGTTATAATAACTTATACAACTATATATCATAGCATTACTATACTATTAATTAATTATTTTTCTAATATTCAACATAATATTATTATACTCAAAAATACTTATTTAACCTTTATACTAATTATCACTTAAATAATTTTTCTTGATTATATTACACTAATTTTCTTTACAAATACTTATAGTTGTGAGGGCACAACACTTAAAAAAATTAGGGCGGATGTCGTAATATGCACAATGTTCTGCATTACGCATCTTACATTATCAATAAAAAATTACTACTCTATATTTACTACCAATTGTATACAACACAAATAATTACTTTATCTGTCATAACATATACACATTTGTACAATAGCTATTATATATGTATATACATGTTAAATTGATTATTGTATACTATGCATCTTATCTTAAAAATAATTATCATGTTATGTTCAAATTTTACACAATAAACTGAAAATCACTAAAAGCGCTGACGGCAACAACCCATGATGGGGCTAATTAAAAGTAATATAAAAAGGCGCTGATTTTCTAAGAGAGCAGAATTCTCTCTTCTTTTTGAAGATTTGAATTCAATAAAGAATTCAGGATTCTTCTATTTGGATTTATATTGAACAAACTAGCCGCGACCCCGTGTTGTCGTCGGTATATTTTATAACGATTTCAAGTACAATTATTTTTGCGTCAATACGTTATTTATTTATTAATAAGGAAAAGTATAAATCTGAACGTGAGATATATAAAAGAAGTAAGTAAATTTATATTAACCCAATTATTTAGAATTAATAATCTGAGTAAAGAATGGTAAAGCAATAGATTTTTTAAACATCATTTAATTTAATTATTAATAACTAGTTAGTGCTTGGTCATATACTTCGACTGGGTGTCTGAGAGGAGGCCTCCGCCACTCCATGAACGCCTCAGTATTTCCACTAAAGCACATACCAGTTAACATCACGCTTCGACTGGGTGTCAGATAGGAGGCCAAGACCCCGGCCACTACAAGAATACCTCAGCGTTTTAATACCTCTATGAGAGGAACTTAATTTGTATCCTTTTATATCTACTTGACTTTACTGTTCTAAACCCTCGGACTCTACTACCCCGATAGAACCTCGTTACTCCTGAATTGACCAAATCCCTAACATCCAACCTTGGTCAAATAAAATTCCCCATACACCTCGTTATTTTATATATTTTTGTATTACTACACAACCGTTTTGAAAAATTATCTTGCTGCATGCTGTTGGAAAACGAGCATTTTTTTTTAAACAAGTGGTTTATGATAAACCGAACACACTGTATGTATTGATGACGTGATAATAATAATGTTAATAAAAGACGATAAAAAGAAAAATGAATTTAAAATTTTATTATCGATTTGTATTTATAGAATTATATTTTTTGATACATAGAATTTTATAAAATAAATTTACTTTGAAAGACTAGATTATATAAAACGTTCATATATAACGAAATTTACTTATTTAACTAAATACTTACAATTATATTATTTTGAGCTTCAATATTTGGTCAACTATTCAGGTAACTATGATATAAAAATATTTTACATACATCACAAACTAGGATAACATTATACTTTTGATTATTTTTAATATTATTTAATTATTATTTTTATAAAATAAAAATAAAATTTTTTTTAATTTTTCAACATTTTAAAATATCCTGTTTTTGACAATTTTATTATAAAACATTTTAACAGATCGATGGAATATTTAGACTTATTGACTTACAATGCATCGGATACATTTTATTTTATGCTGAGCCTAAATAAAAGTCCACTAAAACAATTATTTAGTAGTTTATAACTAAGTTCTTAATTATTTTTAAAAAAGCCCTATGTGTAATATTACCAGGGTTGTTAAAAAAAATAGTTTTTTTTTAAAAAAAAGCTCAGTGGGTAGTGGGTTTTTTCGAAAAAAAACTATCAAGTGAAATAATGAAGAATAATATTCATTTATAAATATTGTATAAGCGACTTTGAAGGGTCCCAAGTTTGTGCAAATTCGTCTTAGGATTATACATACGTAGTACCGTAGAAATATATTACACAATCTTAATATCTCCAATAGTGTAACCTCGGTAACAACGCATTATTAATTTCTATAATCAACTAATAAAAGTTTATACTGACTAATGGCGTGTTTGGAATAACTAAACAAAATTTATAAATGAATATAAATCCGGGCGCTAATATGAATTGTACAACATCTTAAGATATCTTTTATATTTGGCAATTTTATACGGTAATACTTCGAGGGATGATAAAAAAAAAAAAAAAACAAATGCCTTGTGAGACTCAAAAATTTGTATTTTTATAGCATGTTTAAGATAAGCATTACAGGTGTATAATTATACAGAGCGAATAGTTAGTATTTTGAAGTTATCAACACTATAATAATGACTGAAGTTGAGTTGTGGTCTCTTTATTCTTAAATAATTATAAAAGCTGTGCACTTTGGGTAAAAAAAAGGAATTAAAAATTTTTTACAAAAACACTAAAATATAAATAAAAGGAAAATATAGTTTAAATAATTTTAAAATTCTTATAATAGTATATTTTAATTGTTTTGATGGAGTAAAACAATACAATTATATTATAAGTTAAATGATATAGGCAATGGCGCACAGAAAAGTATGCATTTGTCATTAACCGAAATGAATGAAGTTTTAGGTGCAACTTACCCATTCGACGTCCGGTTTACGACCAACTCACAACCTCAAGTGGAGGTGATACCGCTTTTTGACAACTCGATAACAATGTAGATCTTATTTTCTTCAATAACAACCACGTAGATAACTAATTTCGTACACAAAAATGATAGTTTTAAACAATTTTAGAGGCCTATTCAACTGTCTTAAAGAAATTATATTTAATTTATGGGTTGTATTGAACCACGAGCTAATTATTTTATGGTATAATATTGTAGAATAATTTAGAACACTAGATAACAACCCAGCCAATTAAAATTATTAAAATTGTGTCATAGTGTTTTAACATGTTTTTAATTCTTAAGTAATATTAATATTTTATATAATTCAAAATAGAAAAATATTTTTTTGAGAACTATCACTTTGGAAACAATTATGTATTTACGATTACAATTAATCCTGTTTATTGTAAGTAAAAAAACACATACATTACCATTATTATATACCAGTTTTATCTTATAAAAATACAATTTTTATATATGTACAGATATACAATTATAAAATGTATTCATAGAATTAGTTATTTATGTAACTAAATTATAATGAGTGTTCAGTAAGTAAGCAAACGGGTTACTTGTTTTAAACAATGGAAACATTAGAAACATTGGTGAACACTTTGTATATTACTCTTTAATTGGAAGAAAAAAACGAAATTAGGAGATTTAAGGCCGTGTAAACAAAGACTACTAATCTAAAATTAAAATAATAACACATTATTGAAAACGTGTACATTTGATTTTATTTAAATAATACACTGGCACGTCCGTCGGTAACGGTCAGACCCGTTCGGGTTTTACAATGTCCACACAGGTAGATAATAGCCGCCCGATAAAGATACACATAACTAACATAACATCGATGATAAAGATTACAACAAAATTGTAATTTTATACTAATCAAAGTATATGTAGAAATTACAATCGTTGAGAACGGCAATTTTTTATTTGTATCGCAATTTCAAATAAATTTAATTTGAAACTATAGACGACTAAACTTATTATCTAGACACCTTTTCTAGAAATCCAATTAATTATTGAATAAATATGGATATTAAATACATGTGAGAGGAAAATTGTTTTCAATATAATTATTAAAATTGTACCAACATTCCTAAAAATTTCTATTATATATTTAAATAAAACTAATTCAATGTACTGTAAGTTAAAAACAAATGATCCTAGAACTTGTTTTTTATGAATAATCTGCTACCAAAATCATAAAACTTTAAAATTTTTTAGAAACTTTGTTTTTAAATTTATGATAATGTACTAGAATAAGTGTATCTTCAGAACTTGTACCAAATGAAAGCTTTGAAAAATAATATGACAATTAAAAAAAATTTGTCTATAATCGTCAAATTTCAAATTATTTTAATGATATAAAAATTTTTGTGTACAATTTTTTATCTAAGTAGCAACAGACGTATTGAGGGGCTTCAACTCCAATCAAATACTCTCAAACAAAAATTCACCAACATTTCTTCAATTCCATTAATTCCAAAATTTACGATAGTGAGATTAATCACNCCATTAACTCCAAAATTTACGATAGTGAGATTAATCACTATTTGATTTTCATGAATAAGGTTTTGATATGCATAATCTAAACAGTACCTTTTTTTAACAGGGAATTATATTTTCAACAACAGAAATAATCGAAGTAAGTCATCCATCTAATAGTGTGTAATTGCAATTTTTTTAATAAGTGGTAACAGACGTATTTTAAAATCAACTTCAAAAATATACTCTAAAACAAAATTACCAGTATATCTGAAAGCACATTTGCCTCTAAGTAAGAGGCAAAATATTTAAAAAACAAATATACTTAATAATAATAAATTTAAAAAACATTTAACAAAAACAAATTTAAAACTATCTTCTGATTTGTCTTTTGGTTTGATATATGAATAGATATGAATAACCTATTGAATGAACAATCACCATCATTTAAAAAAAATTCTCTCTTGGCCGGGGTGTGTGAAAAAAAATTTTTTTAAACATATATTTTAAACAAAATGATTTAAATTATGCATAATCCAAATAGTACATTTTTATCAATAGGGAATAATAGATCCAACATCAGGAATAATCAAATTAAGTCATATATTTAACACTTTGTCATTAAAAAATTTACCAAGATCGCTCGATATAATTCATAATTGTATTGCTAACTCAAACTTAAATCCAACAATTGAAATTAAAAAAGGTAAGACAATTAAATAACTTTTTAATTCTTATATATTTAAAATAATTAAAAAAATGTTGATTGTTAAAATGGTAAAACAAGCTTATTTTTTTTGTAATGTACTACAATATTAATAAAGTTATTAAATTTTTACAAGAAAAAGAAGTAAAAAATAATCTTAATATTCATTTCAAAGCCATTTTTAAATCCAACAATTGAAATTAAAAAAGGTAAGACAATTAAATAACTTTTTAATTCTTATATATTTAAAATAATTAAAAAACTGTTGATTGTTAAAATGGTAAAACAAGCTTATTNTCTTATATATTTAAAATAATTAAAAAAATGTTGATTGTTAAAATGGTAAAACAAGCTTATTTTTTTTGTAATGTACTACAATATTAATAAAGTTATTAAATTTTTACAAGAAAAAGAAGTAAAAAATAATCTTAATATTCATTTCAAAGCCATTTTCAAGGGCTTTTTTAATACAAATATTAAAATCTTCGTAATATTATAACCCATAATAATATTGGGTTCCCACTTAAGATGAGACACGGTGACGTGTTGAAATGGACTGTACACTAAACTTTTACGAATAACTACAATAATATAATTTAAGTTCTAGAATTTATAGTCATTATTAAATGAATAATGTTATAATAATCATTCACAAATTTATATCTATGTGACACTTTATACAATATCAGATCGAACATTATTGAAAATTGCTTACCCAAACTATTAGTTGTACATTTACTAATTAACTAACTAAATCGTATTAACAATAATACCATAATAATACGGGTTCGTAACAGGCGTTGTAAAATATGTGATTCATTCTTTAATATAGTAAAAATTCGAAGTCTTCGTCAAATTAGTACACCAGTATTATAATATGAATTGTTTAGTTACGATAACAACTAAAAAATATAATTATTTAATTATCGTTATCATAATTTATAGCACATTGATTTTTAAAAATTAACATGGTTTTAATATCGAATTTAATGTCCCATTTTGCTTCGAAGTTTGGCGAACAAAAACATTTATAAAATTTAGAACGAAAAAAATATTGACTAATTCTGTTTATTTTACTTGAATAAATTCACGTGCAGTTATTATATTTTCTTATTAACAATATTTCATTAATAAATATTAATTTCATTAATATTAATTTGTAATTTTGCAGAAAAAATCAATCCATTTTTAACTAAATTGAGAGGTGATATCGTTTCTAGTAAAATTAATCCAAATACAATAAGTACCAGTATATTTGAATTTTTAAAATTAGATGAAAAATATATAACAGAAGAGTTTAATGAGTGTTGTATTGATTTCCATTTAAATTTGTTTACAGTAGAAGAGTCCAAAGTACAAAATTACAAAATTTTAATAATCAATAAATCATATTTTATATAGTCGTATCTTGCCAATAGAATGTAAAATACACTTCTTTCATATAATTCCATAGTAAAAATTTTCCTTGCTATACTATAAAAATTAAACGTATTATTATTTTTTTTTGGTAAAAAATTATATCATTTAATAATAAATGAATCCACTTTAGGTTTAACTGTAATTCAATTAAATTAGTTATTTTAACCAAGACGTATTTGCATTGTAGATCTCAGCTCTAGTAAATTTATCTCTAAATTGATATATTAAAATATAACTATAAAGAAATTTACATTATATTGCTTCAAAAATAAATGTTCTTTGATATATATATACATAAACATTTCTTATAATTTTATTACCAAATAAAAAGTAGTAAAGATTAATGTTTTATTATTTAAAGTTTTTTGATATACATCTAGTGACTATACAATATTACTCATATCCGGGTAGAATTTTTATATGAACAGGCTTTTCAGTAATATAATGCATTTTTTAAACTATGATATAAATATTTTCATTTTAATATCTCTTTTTATTACAAAAAAATCTTTAGTTAAATAATACTACGGAGAGTTTGACAAAAATGGTAGATTTACGATTTACAGAAGCATTTAAAATTATGTATGGTTGTTTAAAAGAGTATAAAAGTTTAGATAATGCAGTTAAAAGTAATTAAACTTTATACAAAATCTATTAAATATAAATAAATAAATATTTTTGTTATACTTTAGAACGCTATGGGATAAGAAGACAAAGTAAAAACAGTAATGAATAAAGAAATATAAACTAAATTTTATCTAAATAGTATTATTAAATTAATGTAACTGTCATTTTCAGATCAAAAATCAAAAATTGAAAGAGTACACAAATTAAAACAACATACTATCGATGTTATGTCTCCTAATAAAAATTACACTTCACAGTATATTGTTAATTCATTAGAAGAGCACATTCATGGAAAACATAATCACACAAATCTTTTCGCAAAGCCTTGTACTGCTGCTTATTACAGCTATTTGGTGTTTAATGATTATGCTATGAGATAGATCTTGGGAACTACCTGAAGAGTTCAAGGTCGTATCTGAGGTGGCATCTAAGATATCCGAACTCCCCACATCCAATTTTTTCAATGTCTTAGAATTTTTTTTAAATTATTTNCGAACTCCCCACATCCAATTTTTTCAATGTCTTAGAATTTTTTTAAAATTATTTTTCATAAATTATTGTTGTTTTCAAATTAAAATTTAATACTGATCATTATATGTGTTTATATTCTATTTCAATATATTACTTAATGAATATTTACAATATGTATAATAAACATTTAATAAAAGCAAAAATAAAGCGTTAATTAATTCATATTAAGATGGAAGTTTCACATTTGAATCTGATTTATATTGCTACATTATTATAATAGTTTCGAATTTCTAATACTAAATTGTTATCGATAAACTAAGATCATTATAACAGCCAGGCATCGTTAATTACAAGACAAAATGTTTGTAAATAGTAACATTTTATATACTAATTCGAAACTTGTTAACATTTCAATACCGTAAAAGAGCGTCCGTACGAAAGAGTGTAGGACACTAGTGTAATCTATTGCGCAAGGAACTTAAATTGAGCTTGCATCTACTCTATATAACTCTGTGGATGACTGAAAAGGCATAGGCTACTAGGAAATAGTTTTCTTGTACAGGACAGCAATGTTGTTTATAATCTTATTATTGGTTTCTCCGATTATTAAGTTATAAATTTAGGGGTTGAACCTAAATGCTCGTCAACAGTATTTTAAGGGACCAACGGGGGATAGCTGGCTAGGCTATATTTACCTTAAGTACTGAGGTTTCCTATTTAATTTATATTCCCTTTGAGGAACTACCAAGGGTCGCAAGTGTTATATTTATATATATAAATATAACACTCTTGGTTAACAACGATATAAATATTTATTAAGTAAAGAATATTAAATAAATAATACAACCTGCTGGACACCTAGAGATTATAATCCAACAAGGAGATGATGGCGACACACACACACACACACACACTATTTACGTGGTAGATAAATTAAGTTAAATATAAGACTAAGAGTAATGGTCGCGATGATTGTAACAAGTCAACTGCTGATCGGGACATTCATATTATGGCACGGTGGCCGTGAATCCCGAAAGTGCTTATGTGTGCAGTCAGTCCTCCTGTTAGTACTGTTGTATGTCATTGTGTCAATACTATAAGTATAATCAGCGGTACAATCATATTGTGGAAACAGTAATATGGGCATATATATACATGTGTGTGTGTATAATATGACATATAATATTATAATACATAGTATATACGTGGTCTGTTGTATCTCCTCCGTCGGATGATACTACTATGATTTGTTTCTAACAGCTTAATAAATAAATAAAACGTTTGAGTTTTAACTGAATCAAGGAAATTCTTTTATCCCTTTGAACACCACCAAGGGTTATGTCCACGACTGTTACCCGTAACCCGAAAGAGTAATAAGACTAAAGGTACTTAAATATTATCAGCACAAATTACTCGTTAAGATATTACCAAAGACGTGTTGTATGGAGACAGACCTGTTTTAAATGAGAATCTTCTTATACCTTTACTTAGAATAATAGAAAGGAAAAGTAGTTCAATCGTAATAATTAAAAATATAATTAAACGAGATAAAACTTATTAAATTTGAACACACTAAAAGTATATTAAAAAAATACAAGACAGTAAAGACTTACTGTCAGAATTATTCCAACAAAATCTTATAACACAAAATGATATTACCCACAGTTCTCCCGAGGTACTCTCCACGACAATTCAATCCATTCCACCACATATACTAAAACGTTTTGTTTTTTGATCTAATATAAAGTAAAATATAAAACATAATAATATAAAACAATTCTCAAAAATGTTTATAAATATGTACTCCCTGGTCTAATAACAATATATCAGGAAATGGCAATCATGTTACAATTAAACGAAATATTACAATGTTTTACTTCCTGCTTTGAAGATAATAGACTATATAACAGGTCGTACCGTATTGTAATTAAAGAAATAACTGTTCGATATCAACTTTTGAACATGTATTTCAGATGTTATTAACAATTTAAAGTTAAGACAGGAGTTGAGCAGTGGTTGCTGCTACATTTATCACAATAAATTTCTCGACATCATCCCTCCTCTCGCGCCAACCAAAAAAATTTTAATAGCTTCTGAAATACTTGCTCAAAATTTGTTATCGATCAGTAATTTTCTTAATTAAAATGTTTTTTATTCTATAAGCTAGTGTAATATGTATGTTTCTAATAAAAAAATAAAAATTGATACGCTTATAACGCACAAGGGAAAAAAAAAAAATAATAGTGGAGGATAAATTAGGAAATATCTAATTAAAAAATTAAATTTTTATCTAAATTATAATTATTTTATGAGGTATTGAGCGGTTCATAATTCACAGATCCCCTTGAATATAATCTTAGGTTCAATAATAGCAACAACACTCCGGTGGAAATACTTATGAGAATAAACAGAATTAATATAAGTCAGTAGAAAGTACGCATAATTGACTTACAGGTCTGAGTGCATAAGTAATTATTGTTCACGTCTATATCAACTAAAACTATACTAATGACGTAATAATATTAAAGCTCCAAAAACTTTGTTTAAAAGAAAAATTATAAAAACTATTATCGGTTCGTATTTGTAGAAGTTCTATTATTGATATAATATAATAAAATTAATCACTTGTGGTTAATTGATTAAAAAAAATTAAAACTTTATTAAAAATATTATTAATTTAAAAACTAAAAAAAATTAAACTCAAAAAGCCACAAAAAATTACTGAAAAGTCGCGAATATGCATTTAGGAATGTGTTCTATTATCAACAATACACAAATATTGACACAAACTTTTAAAAAAATATATATTTCCCATGAAAAATAAGAATACATAAATCGTTAAAAAATAACGAATTTCATTTACTCGTAAAATTACATACATACAACTACAGTATTCCCATTAAAGATTCGGTCAATTATTCAGGTAATTATGCCATTAAAATATTTTATATACAAAATAGAATAGATCAAACTAACAACAGTTATAACTTTTGATAAAATAAATATATTATTGTATTTTTTTAAATAATAAATTATACATTATATCATAATTTGAGAGTTGATAACAATGTTAGGACAAATACTTATTGAGTTAAAAATATTTTAGTACATGGAGTAGGTATAGGGTTTGTCGTATAAGGGTGACTGAGCGCACATCATTTTAACAACAAACTGTAATTCAATTTCACTTAAATTGAGTTGATATTTTTTTATGTTATTTTAGCTATTAAGTAGTTTAGTGCTAAGTTCATGATTATTAACTATTTTTTAAAAATCTATGCGCGTAGTATTACCTAAGGTCTTGGATAATATTATGTATCACTCAGGGAATGATACACATAATTTTCAAATTAGTGCAAATGAAACATTTTTTTGTAAAGGTTTTCGAAAATTGGAGTTTTTAATATTAAATCTTAATTATTCTAGTATAATACTGTAGAAATAGTTTGAAACACTAAATAACAGATAATCTAAAATAAATAAAATTGTGTATTAAAAATTTTGCAATCCCTATTTATTAAGAAACATTAATATTATAAACTATTACAAATAAAAAATTAAAAAAATTTTTTTCTAGGTCAATCAATTTGCAAAAAATTATGTGTTTAAAATTTCAAATAATTCTGTCTATTGTAAGTAAAAATAAACCCATAAATTACCATTGTTATACTTTATTTTATTT